TCAATAATTCAGTGCTGTGACTCCTGGGTTGCTGATTACCAATGACCATGCTGAAGAGTTGTCTCAGCTTGAAGAATTTGGATGTGTAGTCCCCAGCCTCTGTCAGCACAGCATCATAATCTGGAAAAGCAGAACAGCAGCATGTGTTTTAAAAACATTAAAAAAAAAATAAATCATAAAAAAAGCATCAAGCTGCTCTGGGATGGCTTCATGAAAGAAATAAAAGCCCCAGGCACAATTTTCATGGCATTGTCTGCAGCATGGAAATCTGTACACTTTAATCTGAGTGAACATCACTAAACAGCCACAAAATTCCTTAAATTAGAGAAGAGCCATTCACACTTTCAGAGATCTAATTTGCACATATCCAGAATTTCACACAGGATAAAGTCAACAATTAACTATTTTAACCATGGGCTGTTGGGATGAAAAGAGATTTATGGTAAAATTTGACTTGGTAAAATTTAAAAAATGGGGTTTTGGATCATCATCTCTCCCTAGAAAAAGGAGATGTCAGTTAATAATCTGTGACAGCTCTGTTTAAAATTCAGAATAAGGGAATCCCCCACTTCCTGGATGGCTGGGAATTGGAATCATTCATGTAAACTCCATTTTAGACAGGAATTTACTTCTGAGCTGTGTTTTACCTCATCCCTCAGGACAAAGTGGTTGTGCTGATCCCTCCTGAGTGTGGCTGGTGACTGTCCCAGCCCAGGGCAGGCAGAGCTGCACAGGCAAACCAAACTCACCATAACTGGTGACATCTGACTTGTACTCATCAGCGTCCAGAGCCCCGCTCATGAAACCAAAGTTGGTGCCTCCATGGAACATGTAGAGGTTGATGGATGCTCCTGTTTTGAGGATGCTTTCTACAGTATTCACCATCTCTGCAAAGGAAAAAAAAAAAAAAAGAGATTTTTTGCAGTGCCAGGGAGGCCACAGGCACAAATCTGGGGCAGGAATTCAAATCAGCCATTCCTGGGCAGTCACAGTGATTTGTGTTGTGATTTGCATTTTGCCCTCAGGAAGGGGCAGCAAATCTACTGATGCATTTAAATACTAAATCTGTGTATAATACTAATAATACTAATACTAATAATAATAATCTGAATTATCTGAATTATTTGAATGTATTTAATATTTAATCCTCTTCTCCAGGTGAAAAAGGGGTAAAGCAAGAGGCCTCCAGCAGGAATTTTGCTTTTAAGAAGAAGAGTTACAAAGACTCCCCAGCCAGACTAATGACCCAATTACACAGACAATTGCAGGAAGATGGAAGTTGTTAAACCAGTCCTGTGTAGCTCTGCTCTCCCTGCTCTTTACATGCCCTGAGGGTTTGTATTTTTTTTTTTTTAGTAGCCTTCCAAATGAGCTTTTAACCTGGAGAGGGTGCTGCACCCACAAGGGGCTGAAATTCGCCACAAAATGTTCTACAAGGACAGCGTTTGGTGCTCACCATCTGCATCAAAGACATAGTGAGGGCCTCCCCAGTTATCAAACCAGCCAGTCCAGTACTCCATCACCATCTTGGGCTGGTCTTTCTGTCAAGAGAAAAAAAACAAGAGTTCAAATGGATCCAGGTCAAGAGAAAAACAGAGTTCAAATGGATCCAGGACAGGCCTGCAGCCACCCCTTTGTTCTGCAACAGCATTGTTGAAACAAGAGGGGGAGTAGGACGAGAAGAGGGAAGAGGAGGAGGAAAAAGGAGGAGAAAAGGAGGAG